GCTGGCTGGCGGCGAACGTAACGCAATACAGACTTGTCCTCTGGGAATAACTGCGTTTCGGCTGGTTAACGATGAACCGACTGTGCCAATTTTCGCCAATTTGCTGATGAACTGGAAATTCATACCAGTTAGTGAAACGAGAGCAGGCTGAGTTGGATCGGGAACATTTGGTACGTAAACGATGCGCTTCCGTGAAGACCGAGTCTCATTTCTGGAGGTTGTTCCGAGGACGAGTGACAAGGCTGAACTCAATGCGGTCAATTTTCTCATCTTAAGTTAAGAAAGTACTTGACACAATGAAGTTCGATGAGAATTTTCACCTCCACCGCCCTTAACATCGCAGCAGCATCTGGCACGAACTTAAAAACAGTCATCGGCATGTTCTGGAAACCTCGCTGCTCTTTCAGAGATGGTCGAGCACATCGGTAACAAGTAAGCCGAAACTAACAGATTGAATGGCATAGCGAATTGAGACCAATAGTAGTTTCTTTAACCGTGAAAACCTGCGATGAACCCTGAATGGGTCATGTACCTGACGAATGAAAATCACAGGCTTTAGGACATATGAAAAATTTGTGTTGCAGAAGGCCGTTTCTACTGCAAAAGAGCAAAGAAAAATTTTGGAGTTAGTATATCTTCAAGGAAGCATGTCTTCTTCCACTGTACTTTCTTAACAGAGTAAAACAACTCACATGCGATATGGGTTTACTTCTTCAAGTCATTAGAACAGCATGATGAATGCCACCAGCGAAAAAAGTTACGGGGGCGTTGTTGAAGCAAAGTATACTGTCAAAACGGAAGGTACGATGTCAAACGCTTTTCAAAGTAATACATCCTCCAACTGCAATCCTCTGAACGAGGAGTATGATTCTTATTCTTAGACATGCTTTCCTTCACATTTATTGATTTACACTCCTAAGAACGAATAGCGGTTTTCTTGCAAATCGAATTTTCTTTGTACAAAATGTTTTGGGTGAGCGTTCAAATGTCGGTGTAACGGGGGTGGGACATGAGGGACGGAAGGGGGGACAGTGGGAGGGCAGTAGCACAATGAGTTATAGTCTGATTTACACTTTATATACAGGCTTCGAATCCAATGCACGTGTAATCTTTTCTGGTTAAGGCTGCTAATTCCGTTGCACAAGAAATCAATCCAACTGCACTTCAAGCTAACCAGCCGAGAAACGACAAACCAGTAGTTGAGGGGAAGGCATTATGGCTTCGGATATCCATGCCCGAGTGAACGAGAAATCAGACAATGCTCTCTTATGCGTCAACTTCAAGAGTGCAATCTCTCTGATAGCTGGCAAAAAATCGGCAGAAGGAGATACATTTTATGCATCATTTTTATATATATCATAAATAAATAAACACCAGCTACAAAGTTGCTTCTTCCAAGCATTCGCGCTCTTCATGTAGCATAGAGAACTGCTCAGTTGGTGTGTATAAGTCAAAACTACAAACCAGCGTTAGTCTCATAACTTTGATTTCGAGAGTGTCAGGAATCAGCCAGCGTACGGCGTTCTCGTCAATTCGTAAGAAAATCTTGCGCTAGCCGATGCCCATAGAAATACATTCGAAGTCAGGTCTCTAATTCTTAAACAGGCCTTATGATGATATTTGTTTTGCATAAAAGCAATGATAATTTATGCGGAAAAATGAAACCCCGATCTCATGGGTTTAATAGCACGCCGATAGCTATTGATACCACCGCTTGGATACATAATCCTTTTTAGTTTTTGTTACCGGGTTGAAGCGGGGCAAGCACCGTCCCAAAATCAGAAACTGAAAAGCATTATATATCTTAGCGGAGGTATCAGTATCTAGGAGGTTGCTAGTAAATCCATGAGATCGGGTTTCATTTTTCTGTATAAATATGCCTAGGGATCGTGGCATATTTGCATGTGTATTTACAGTGATGCGGTTCAGCACCCATGCTTTGCTCCAATGCAACGGAGCCATGACCTGCTAAAACGGTCCCCTTGGCCACTAGAAACAAAGGGACCGTATTTACGCCGCTTCAGTCCTGTATAAAAAACTAAAAAGAATGGTAATTCGATTCCTAATTTTCAGAGATACTTCAGTTATCTAGAACCTATGAACGAATTAAAGTTCATTAACGACTGCACAGAGCGATAAATATTTACTCCTTCTCAATAGGTTTTCAATGTCGTACCGCATGAGCATCCTTTAATTTTTCAGTTTACACGAAGCCTATTCAGTGCGATAAACAATTAAAATATTGGTCCGTTTTAGCGCATGAAGATTTCGTTGAAGGCCTACAGTGCCAGGGATTTAAAGTGCTCAGATATGATATGATAATGAATTACTTGCGAACGAGAAAATGCGCCTGTGAGCTATGTTTAGGAAAAATCGCTATGATGGTCAAACCTTAGCCGGTCCTGTTTTCATTCGTTACGGGTAGAGTACCTCTAACAAAATTGGATCTGCATTTCCAACAACGATTCTCTTTGCTAAGCCGTTCACGGCAATTCTGTACCGTTTCAGAAGAAAATGGTTTCAAATCATTTTTCTGCAGGAGTACTACTCTAAACTTCTAATGCTTACGACACAAACGATTTCGGAATCGATCAATGGAAAAAGCTAACATAGTATATAGCATAAAATGTATTTTCTGCAATTCCATACATGCTAGAAGTCATTATGCCTCCTAAGATGAGGTTAGAAGGACACACTTGAGAAATAGCGAGCAATTAGTGCAGTTACATAGAGCATTGAGGCATTATGAGCGATGCCTCTAACAGTAATCATGGACATAATGAAGCCAACATATATGCAAACAAAATTGGGAAAAGCCGTCTAGGAATATCCGCAAAAGAGAAGCATGGACAGTGCTATTTGAAGCCACATTGAGTTACATCCTCGGCCAGTCCTACTGTTCATTTTAAGGAAACTCAGGAGGTCGGAAGTACAGAAAATATTTTTTTGCATGCAGGTTCAGTTGGCGGCATTAGGGGCAAAAAAAATCATTCGTGCAAAGTGTTCGTTATCATTGCCAACGTTTCAGCAAAATTACAATGAATAAAGCCGATAATCACCCCTAAAGTAACTGTTGCAAGTGGTATATGCAAATTGATAGAAAAATCGTGCCAAAAATCAAATAAGGCAATTAATCAATTCAATACTGTGGAAACGAGCTGACCGTGTCGGTGCATATCTTGCAGGAGTTCGAGAAACGCTGTGATTGGTGAGCAACTTGACCCTATCGTTTTGAGTTGCCCTGGCGTTAGCCTTGTCATTTTCAAAGACATTAACAACATGGCTAAGGATGCTCGGTTTTCTCCTCCTCACTGCTTGCCTTGAGGGAATGTCAGTTCCATTCGGCTGGAACGTCGGTAGTTAAAACATAGGTAGTTAAACCGTCTGTCTAGGCGCCTTTCAGCGACCTGGTGACTTCCTGTGTCTCTATTGACGAGTGCAATTTCGAGTACTGGAGGCAAGGACATAATATTTCCTGTACCAAATAGTTGTCCAACGAAATCAGACGACTCCCAGGATAGTTACTCATGCACAGAGCGCTACATGAGAATTATCTCATGAGAAAAATAAACATGACCATGACATGGATCGACTTTAGGAAAACATTTATCACAACACAGATAGATCCTGAAATGTCTGAAACTTTGGAACTTTAACGGCGGCCCAATAAAGTACCTGGAAGCAGCGATGAGACAGACACCTGGATCAGCATCACAATGCAATAAAATCCCTTTGGGACGTTTGATGATCAAGCGATGAATCTTTCAGGGAGATTCAATCTCGCCGCTTCGATTTTATCTCGCATCGACTGCGATTGAATACTTGTTGAATAATACCAGGAAAGGATACAATTTGAATATGGCAATGTAATATCGCACGTGCTGGTAATGGACGACTGGCCGACCTGACGCTATATGCGAAATTTGTAAATAAACTGGATGCTGTCATGCAAACCGCATGAATGTTTTAGGAGGCTATTAAGACGGAGTTCATTTCGGATAATGTGTTGTGATCCAGCTCAGGAAAAGAGATCCACAAAGACAGTTGAGCTACCCTGGCAGCTGATATAATTAAAATCTTTGAAGGACAGCTCCAAAACCTCAAAACGAAGA